GCTCTCTGGTGCCCCCAGCCAGCCCGAATCATTACCAGGCTCATCAGCCAGGGCTCCTGCTTCGAACTCCATGAGTCCCTCTTCTCTTTCGAGGCCAGCCTGTGTGCATACTCAGGAAGCCTTCTTGAACTCTGCAGTGGAATCAGGCAGTGCATCCTGGGGTTCCCGCAGGCCGTCATGAAAGCCACCACCCCACACTGCCTTTCTCAGACTAAGGGTCTGCTCACCTCTCTGAGGTCTCACTCATGACCTCACATCCAGAATCCCTCACAGGACCATCTGCAGAGTGGAGAGTGCTAGACAGGTGGATGTCAGGAGCGGGGAATGAATGGATGAAAAAATTAGGAGCACATGGAGCTGCAGGGCTATGGCTGGATGATTTTATGGGGTAGATCAATAATGACAAATTATGAAGAGCCCAGTGAATAACAAGTTACCAATTATTGATTTTTACCGCTGTACAATGTCCCTGGAGTCACCAAACACACACCTGGATTGCCAGGGAATTCCCTGCTCTGCTGTCCCGTCTGTAGTAGGAACCGATACAGGTCTGAGGGCTTGGGGCAAGGTGCCCTGAGAATGTCATACCCTTATTGCCCTATCCTAATTTTCCAAGAAAACCTGGTGCCTGACTCACCGTGAACTCTCCCCACCCCACTAGGCTCGGGAACAGGTGTCTCTGGATGTTAGGACTTGGAAAGAATCACTGTGACACAGGCCAAGGTGCCAACACGGCCTGCTGCTGCTCTCATGAGCCTAATCCAGCTGTGTCTGTCGCCTCCTGCCCACGACAACTCTCCTTTTTTCGGGAGCCCATCATGTCACTGGCCAGCAATGTCCCCTTCTCTTCTGCCACCCTGTTGCTGGCCATCTCAGGGAATCTAGGAAGAGAAGTGAGGGATTGTCGCATTCCTCAGAGTGTCCAGTACGGTCAGCAGAAACAGTGCAGGCTGAAGTCAGAGGGGCTCGGTTCCAGTTGGGACTTTTCAGCTTTGGCAGCTGCTCACTCTGGGGAACAGGACCAGCCTAGCGGACAAGGCAAGAAGAGGCAGGAGTGACACTGGTCCAGGTTCCGGTGCAGGGAGTTCCTGTGACCTCAGGCAAAAGGACTCTGTAGTCTCCACCTCCTCCTCTGCGATGGAAGAAACACACTGTTCACTCCCCAGAGCTGTCACGAGAACCAAATAAAATGTGAAGATGCTGCCCTAATGCTCACCATTGCTGCCTGCAGCCATTGGTGATAGAAATGTGGCCGTCTGGACTGAGATGGGCAGGGAGATTGTAACTGATAATATAACCTATTGATGAAATTTTAAAACACTGGATTAAATGATGTATATTACTAAAATAGTGGAGAAAAAAAGATCTTCTCGAACGTTTCTGGCCACAAAGCCTTCAAAGCCTCTCCCAGGATTTGGTGACTCTCTGGCTCTTGTAGATGACTGTTTAGGAACAGTGTCTGCCTCCCTGACTACCCCAGGAGCTCCCTGAGGTCAGGGACTGTCCCTTGGTCATCTGTACTCTACTCTGTGCACAGAGCCTGGCACACGGCAGAGACACTACAGAAGCTGTTGTGGTGGCTAAACAATGCATGTGAAGGCAGTATTTGGACTTTTATTACTGGAGCACCCTGGAGTCTTAGATAAATACAGCAGGATTCCTGTCACAGTGAAGCCACCAGATAGAGGCTCAGGCAGGAAACAGGAGCTGATCTGAAAAGTTTAATCGAGGGACCATGAATATGATCACAGGTTTATGGGCAGGTTCTAGGAAACCAGGAGGGACAGTACTGTACCCCAGGGGTAAAGGGGAGGAGGAGGAGGTCATCTGGACCGAGGTCAGAGATGTATGCACAGGGTCGGGGTGGGGTGGGGGAGCCAGGTTGGGAAACCATAATGCCTGTTCTCAGCCCTCCTGCCCGCACAACCAGAAGCCAGAGGGTTACTGGCATTGCTGTCACCCACAAAGGTCACCTACCAGGGCATACAGCATGTTAGGAAGGGCAGAGGGGAGTTCTGGAGAGCCAGATAGAGAGACCATGCCCAGATGAGAACACAGGACTGCAGGATCCTATGGGGACCTCTGAACGTCCTGCCCAAGGACAGTCAACGGCCCTACCCAGCCAGATCCTCAGTGCCTGAGCACCTGTGCTGTCTCAGGAACTGCACTGAACCATTTTCCAGTGGTGGTAACCCAAACCCAGAAGTCCAAGGAACCTGTGCCAGGCCACACAGCCAGGAGTGGCAGAGCCAGGCCTGGAAGACAGGTGGGCTCCCAAAGCCAGGTTCCCACGTGCTCTTAATAACTCTGCTGTTCGGTACACTGTCTGTTTTGAGGAGCCCTGCAGGGGCACAGCTCTCCTGAGTCACAGACAGGTCCAGGGATTTTTCTAGACATCACAGCTCAAGGGGATTTGTTAGAGGCAGGGAAGCAGGCTCTGCCCATCACTGGAGCTGGTGACTGCAGATTGCACGGTGGCAGCTTCAGGGATTTTTTTAGCCCCAACGGGTGGAGCCACCTCTCACCAGGTGCCTCCCGGAATCACTCCCCAGCTGTAACCACAGGATTTAGATGTTCAGCGCTGGGCAGGGCCCTCAGCATCCTCTAGGCCACCCCTCGTCTGTGACTTTAGAACTAATAATAATTACAGTGCTGACAACCGTGGCTTCCTGCATGCCGCCCCCGGGAGAGTCACTCAGGCTGACCTGCACGCTCCCTTAGGATCGTGGAGTGTCTGCAGGCAGGTCCAAGCTTGCTCATTTTGGCAATGAAGGACTATGACTTGTTCATGGCCACAAAGCAAATCAGGCCCCACAGAGCCAGACCTAGACCCTGGGGCAGCTCTGGGCACTGATTCTGGACCAGAGAAGCTGGGTACTCTGCCCAGACTTGTGCCTACAATCTGTGGTGACCTTATGCAAGTCACTTCTCTGTGCCTTAGTTTCCCCATCTACTAAATCAGGATGGGTGTGGTGGTACATGTCTATAATCCCAGCTCTTAGGAGGCTGAGGCAGGAGTATTACAGAAAGTTTGAGGCCAGTTACACAGTGAGTTCAAGGCCAGCCTGAACTACAGAGTGACACCCTGTTTCAAGAAACAAAACAACAAAATCAGAGAGAGAAAGGAAAAGAGATCAGGATGACAGTGGCGTCTACTTCTTTTGGTTGCAATGAAATGAAGCAGCAGTTAGAAACCCATGGCCTGTGATTATTCCACCTCCAGGTCACCAAGCTTTCCGCCCACATCCAGGAACTCTTCAGCATGTCCTTGTGTGGCCCTGGCTTTCACAGTCATTGACTGAGTAGCTGCCAGTGGGACTGTGCCCTGTATGGCTCATTCGGTCCTCCCATCACTGGATCCCCACTTTTCAGACAAGGAAACTGAGGCCCACAGACAAGCTGGGACCCCCCTCCATGCACTGCTGAGCCAAGGAGCCTGCTTGCAAAGGGGAGCCGTCCCCCTCTCTCCCCACTGCTGGAAACCAAAGTGTGCTGAGCCTTGGTATTGTCATCCAAAACAATGCCCGAGACAATGACAATGGCACAATCAGGAGGGTGCTCATTTCTCAGCCTGGGGGCCCACTGTTGGGGGGGTGCGCTGAGAAGAGGCTCCCAGCAGGAAGGACAAGCCAGCAGCGAAACCTCGCAGCTGGGCCCCAGGTGCTGGGAGAGCGGCGGGGCAGGAAGCGGGCAGGCCAGTTCTTGCTTTCCTCTCCTTTCTTATTTGTTTGAGAAGCAACTTTACTTTCTAAATCGGTCATTGTCACCCGTTGGCCCCCATCCCACCTGGGCCAAGGCCTCTGGTGACAGGGGCTCAAGAGGAAGCTTGGGGGACAGGAGGGATGAGGTACTAGATATGACAGGGCCCAGCTCAGCTCCTTGGGGGGGCTCCTGGGCCATTTTCAGTGACCAGGGCCTGGCACAGTCAACATGTCCGAGGAGGGTCCTGGGTCTTCCAGGTCCAGCGGCTGGGGCTGGGGTGGGGGCTCCCAGACGGGAATCTGGGCCACGGCAGTGGTGTTGTATTCCTATTCCGTGGCTCCCAAGCATGTCACCTAGGGCAAGTCACTTCAGCTCTCTGAACCTCTGTTTTCTCACCTGTAAGGTGGGAGGAGCTGTGCAAATTAAACATAATTACATGAATGTGAAGTATTTATCTCATTTACTGGCACTTAAGCGTATTTACTGGCTGGGAGTTTATCTAAGAAGCCAACAGTCACCAGTATATTCACTGGATGCCAGCTGCATGTAAAGCACTCTATGCCCACTGATTCATTTAGCCAGCACTGTGAGTGTTCTCCCCACTTAACAGGTGCAAACGCAGAGCCCTGGGGAGAGGGCAAGAGACACCCCAGCAGCAGACCCAGGCTTTACAGGATCTCAGCAAAGCTTGTTGGCCACTTGAGGCTCTTTAAAGGAGAATTCCGGGGCTGGGGATTTAGCTCAGTGGTATAAGCTCCTGCCTTGTAAGTGCACAATCCTGAGTTCGATCTTCGGTACTAATTTAAAAAATGAAAAATAAAATAGAATTCCAAGCTGGACATGGTGGCACATGCCTGCAAGCCCAGCCCTCTGGGAGGCTGAGGCAGGAGGATCTCAAATTGGAGTCCAGCCTGAGCAATTTAGTGACTTTGATGTAAGTCAGTGCAAAAGTCCTGGGTTCAACTCAGTATCAAAATAAATAAATAAATAAAATACAGTGATTCATAATTGTGAATTCAAAATGAGGTACCAAAAAAAAAATGAGATACCAGGCTATACACATGAAGGACTCAAGGCTCAGGCTTCACGAATCATATCTGGAATTTCCCTCTAACTTCTAGAGCATCTAGCTGGCCACTGCCACAGGTCAGAAGGACCAGGTGTCCAAACCAGTAGGGATGGATACACACACACACACCCCGAGCTGCAGTGAATGAATGAATGTTCCCATTGCTGTCCCCACTACCAAGTGACTCACCCTCAGTGAATCCTCTAACCACACGATTCCTATTCTACAGATGAGGAAGCTGAGGCTCAAGGAGGACCAGTTACTTGCCTGAGGGCCCAGAGCTAAGAAGTGGCAGACCAGCATTGGAATCCTAGCAGCCTGACTTCCAGGAATTACCACAGTAATTACCACTTTGCTCATTTGGGGCTCAGTACCTTCTGGTACCAGTTTTCATCTCCTGGTGGAGGTCTCTTATCTCTTCTCTGTTAGCAGCCTGAGGTGGGGACAAGACACCTGTGCTTTGGAGTCACAGATGCTTATATTAATCCTCCTCCTGCTGTTTCTAGCTATGAGCCCCTGACCAGTCTTTCACATCCACGAACCTCAGTTTTCTCATCTGTAAAATGGGGACTGTGTAATTGAAAAGGTGGTTCTAAAGTCTGGAGACACCAATGATTACAGTGTATGTTTCTAAACATGCTATTAATATATCATACAAGTGTGTTACCTGTTTGTAGATCTTAGGGCTGCCTAACACTGCAGAGGGTGGTTTGGATCAGAGATGAAGGGAGCAGAGGTGTCCTGTCTGTATTAAATGCTCAAGACTGACAGTCATTTCTCCCCTGGGAGCCAGGGGATGGGTCACTTGTGAGAAGTGGATGTTTGGGATAGAGAAACACCAGGAGCAAGTGTCGGGTGGCCTGTGTTCTAGGCGGATCAACTCAGTCATGACCTTGGTCTGGTCGTTCTCCACTTCCTGAGCTGTTTCTCCATTTACAAGCTGCATGGCCAAAGGTCTTCAAGAGACTGCATTTCCAGATAGGAATAGAGGAGGATCTCTGGGCCCTAAGAGAGCTGCTCCTGTAGAGGAGACACCCTTGGGGATACTCTCTAGGGACCCAACTCTCGAGACAGATGGGAGGATTTGTAGGGAGTTCTCTCTGCTCATCATCCTGTAGAACCAGGATTGGGGCTCAGCTTTTGGGTTCTGAAGCCAGATGGCTCCGATCTAATCTGTTTACTCATCTGAGAAGTGGGCATGAGGATAATAGACATCTTTCTCTTCATTTCTCAGAGGAAGGGGCTGTGGGACCAGGAGGCCCAGGACCCGCTGGAGGTCGTGGTTCCCACCTCGCCCTTGTCCTACCCTTGCTGTCCCTCCCGCAGCTACCGGCCTCCCCTGTGGGACTCCTGGCTCCCTCCCCTGTCACAGGTGACTGGCTCACCTTTCCAGTGCCTGGTATTCTGTCTCTTTTCTCTTCCACACCAGGCAAACTCACTCAATGGGCCGATGCCCACGGGCCAGGTCCGGTAACCCCACTTACAAGAATGGTGGCCCTGAGCAAGCTGCCCACCCTCTCTGAGCCCCACCCTCTCATTGATATAATGGGGACAACAGTCCCTCCAATGTGTGGAAGTACCCAGGACACCTGACACCTGACCCACTGTGACCAGGCAAGAAACATCAGTGTCCTTTGAACCATCTCAAGTGTGGCCTTGTTAGTGGGCACAGCCAGGTCCCTGTGACACTGATCACCCTGTATTACAGCCATCAGCCATCAGCAGAACCCACCAGCCAGCACCTCATATGACGTCAGACTCCTGTGTTCTTGTCCTCTTAACAACTACACCATCTGGAATAGGTACTTGTTAAAGATTGTTGAGTGAATAAATGGATGGATGGATGGATGGATGGATGGATGGATGGATGTGGTGCTAACTTTGTGGGTTATCCTCTCTGCCCCGTCAGGACAGCAGGCTTCTGGGTGCTATGACAACCCCACCACTCCCCCTATTTCTTCTGCCAGCACTACTCATAGTTCTGGTTCCTTGAGCACTCACTATGCGCTGGGCATCGAGGTAGCAATCCTCAGCTCCTCCTGCTCACACCCCAGAGTCACCCTACGGGGTGGGTATTCTGCCCTTGTGCTCACCTCCCAGAGAAGCCAACAGCCTGGGGCGGGGGAGGTGGGAGAGTCTTTAGTGGTGGAATCAGGTCCTGCATCCTTTCCAGACAGGTGAGGGTGGATGGTCAGAGCCCAGAATAGTGACAGCTGGTGTCCCATCCCAGAATCTGCCTTTGACCATTCCCTCCTTGTAGGACATCTCTTCCCTAGAGAAGCTGTTTCCTGAGAACCCCTTGAACACCTCTCAGCCTCCCCCTAAATTCTCTCCAACCCTGAGATAACCATGACCCAGATTCTGCACGCCAGCCTGTGCTTCATCTTGTCTGCCTGGCTGGCTGTCCCAGCCCTCTTGGTTCTCTTCATGGAGGTTGGCTGGGATCCATCGCAGGACCCGCCCACTGGGAAGAGCAAGTAGGCCAATCACAATGCCTCATTTTCCTTAACATGATGATTGGTTTGAGCCTGGGCGTGCGTCACAAGCTGAGCCAATCAGACTTTTCCCTGGGATTTCTGCGGAACTAGTAGAGAAAACTGTTTCCCAATAGGAGCTGGAGGGGTAAGCACCTTTGCCAAGACTGGAGAGAGCACATGGGAGACAAGGCCCCTTATTATTATTCGCCTCCCCTTTCTGTTGTCTTCCACTCCTCCTCTTGCTCTGTCCTCACCTCCTCCTCCTCCTCCTTCTTATCCTGGGTGTTGTGCCGGGGATTTAGTTCAGTGGCTTAAGCACCTGCCTGGTAAGCCCAAGGTTGTGAGTTTGATCCCCGTTACAAAAAAAAAAAAAAAAGGAAAAAATTGTCCTGGGGGTTGAACCCAAGGTCTTGCACATGCTAGACAAATGCTCTGCCACTGAACAACACGCCCAGCTACACAGCCCACTCTTAAAGCCAGGCACAGTCAGAACTGATGGGAGGGGAGATAACCCAGCGACATGACTGACTGGAAGCTCTGGATCCAGGCACGCCTGGGTTTGACTCACCCTTGAAACTGTAAGATAAAGATGCCACCAAGTTGTTAATCTTGGTTTCTGTAATCCAGTTTGAATTGAATTTATGTCACTTAGGTAACTAAAAGATGATGATCTAACATTCTCCCCTCTCTCTCTGTCTCTCCTCCCCTCTCCTCTCCTCTCCCCTGATGATCTCAGCTGTTATCTAATCGTCTAAGGCTGCCAGTTTTTATTTATTTATTTATTTATTTATTTATTTATTTATTTATTTTTGCTTTTTATCGGTACCAGGGATCGAACTCACGACTGCCTGCTTGCAAGGCAGGTGCTTATGCCACTGAGCTAAATCCCCAGCCCCAAGGCTGCCAGTTTTTAAAGAAATGGGTGTCTGACAGGTCCTTCTCTCTGCTCCCCTCCTGGGGTCCCCATTACAGATGATGCTGTCACCATCTCCCTCAGGCCCCAGAGACAGAAAATTTAGTCGCCTTTCTTTCTCTTGTTCCCCAACACTGTTTTCCTATAAGCAGTGTGTTCTGTTCCAGAAGGTTCTAATCCCATTGGGGGCTTCCCGCTTCCTGATCTCCATCCCCATTTCCTTGATTCAGGCCAGCTTTCATTCACTGCAGCACTGTCTCTGTCCTCCCTTCCTCCTCTCTCCCTTCACCCATCCCCATGTGTCACTGTGGCCACCTCTCCAGACCCCGTCACTCCCTGCTGCCAGCCCTGCCTGCTCCCCATCAACCCAGGACAGCCTGAGCTTCCCCCAGGTGGTCCTGGGCCCTTCCCAGTGTGGCCTCATCCGGAACCACTTCTCCCCACCCTGTGTCTCAGTCACACTTGGTGCCCTTCCCCTGAACATACCAGCCACCTTCTTGTCACTGGCTTTCCTGCTGAGATTTGTCCTGGCCTCTCTCCCACCCTGCACCACCCCAGCCAGCCTCTCTTTCCCTCCTCTGTGCTCTCAAGACACAGGGGACCCGGACCTCTGAGGGCGTGATCCTGCCTGATCTCCTGCCCCCTCCTAGGCCAACACTGCCCTTGGAGTGAGGGCAAATGACAAATGGCCTTTCTCAGTGGGACCTGGGAAGCTCACTGGCTAAGCCAGATTGGCACTTGATCCCTCAGGACAAAACAAAATGACCTGGAAAGCCAGGTATGGCTGTGCATGGCTGTAACCCCAGTGCAAAAGGAGGCTGAGCCAGGGAGCTCCCGAGCTAAAACCCAGCCTGGGAAACTTAGAGACTTAGCAAGACCCTGTTTCAAAGTAAAGGGAGGCGGTGATGCCGGGGATGTAGTTCAGGGTGAAGGCCTTGGGTTTAACCCCTGGCACCATAATACATAATTAAATAAGCACCTGGAAGAAATAAGTACAATTCCCTGCATGTGGACAGCATGGTACAGTTTACCGAGGGGTTCTGGGTTTATCTCCTCCTCCGGTCCCTGTGCGCTGTCAGGGAAGGTGCCGCCAACCACATTTCACAGATGGAAAACATGGCTCAGAGCTGGTTCTGATCCGACCTCTCCCTTCCCCTAGGTGAGGGCCAGGAACAGCGCTGAGGGAGAAGAAGGCAGGCCGGTTTTGTGTGGCCCAGTGGTGACAGCACCCACAATCTCCACGACAGCCTCTGCACCGCTTTCCGGGGAACAGGGTCCAGCCAGTTCCTGGGTGTTGTCTGCTTGTGAAGAGGGCCACTGGTTCTCATGTCACAAATGTGGAAACCAAGGCACGGGACAGGTGAGAGACTTGTCTCTCTGAGGCCAGGCTCCATGGTTATTGGGACAGGGCTTTACAGCCAGGCCTTTAGCATCTCTTCCTGCATCAGCCCCCGGAGGAGGTGGCAACGGAGGCTCAGAAGTCAGGGGAAGAGGGAGGGGATGGCACCAGCCCTTCTGATCCGCGGCGCAGCTCTGAATGTGGGGGTACAGGGTGCAGGGCCCGAGTGGGCGTCCGTGTCACCTCCCCGCCTGCCGCAGCAGCCAGCTCCGCAGGTGCTCGGGTGTGCGGCGTGGGCGTGGGCGAGGGACCCGGGCAGGCGGGCGGGTCCCCACGCCCATCCTCCCTCCCGTGGCTGGTGGCAGGTGAGTGGGTGTCGAGGAACCGCCAGGCAGCGGAGAAAACAGGACGCCGCAGAGATCAGATTACTCACCTGCAGCTGCGGTACCCTGGGCTAATAAAAGCCGAGCTTCCTGTTATTACCACCCCGAGCCTCCCCAGCCCCAGTCCGCTCCCAGCTGCAGCCAGAACCTAACCGATCGCCAGAAACCAGCAGCTTCGGGGTCCAGGCGGCTTGGAGCTGGAAATCCCACCATTTGTCCCCATGTGCACACTGCCAGGTTCAAGTCGTCCAAAGGGTGGCTTTGGTCACCTGCATGGAAACCACCCGGGTTCTGATTAAGAATACGGATCTCCAAACGCTGCTCCCGCCTGCTGGGTCAGTTTCTGCCACTGGGGCCCGCGGGCCTGTAGATCCATATGAATCCCGGGTGACGTGCATGCAGGGTAAAGTCTGAGAGCCCAGTTCTGATGTAGGTCCAGGCCACAAGGTGTTTTCCCAGACTGTGACCCAGGACTTCGGGGTAGAACCCATCCCCAGCCTTAGCCAAGTGACCCCAGAGCTTCAGTTTGGTCTTTGGGAAGTAACAGTGAAACAGCCCCCAAATCGTGGGTCCCAGGAAGCCCAGGAGAAAGCACTGTTGGCCCGGTGGACAACGGTGCGGCTGGAGGTCTGCAGCTGCAGCCAGGGTCAGCCCAGCCGGAGTGTGACCGCATCAGGCAGGAGGAGGCTGAGGAGCTGCAGAGGGGCCATGGCGCTGTGCACCCCGAAAAAGTCAGCTTCGCCAGGGCTTGGTCCACGCCACAGCCCAGGGAGCCGCAGGGAGGTCCCGCCTCTGCTTTCCAAGCCTTCCCCTCCCAGGTACCTGCTCCCAGCCCCTTCCAGCGTCTCCCCAGTACCTGTTCTGCTTGACCCCCTCCCTGCACCCTCTCACTGTGCTCCTCCGCTGCCTTCTCCATCGCAGGGCATTCAGTCTGCCTACATCCACTCTTCAGTTCGATCCAGTTTATCCCTCTGGGATCTGGCACCTTCTTTCTGGGTTCTCTGTGCCCTGTGTATTCCAGCACTGCGGCCTCCTGGTTTTGGACTGCCAGTCTCTCCCTGAGATTTTTATTTTATTTATATTTTCATTACTGGGGGCTTGAACCTGGGGCCTTTGCACTGAGCTACATCCTCAGTCTTTTTTTTTTTTTTTTCTTTTTTAAATTTTGAAATAGAGTCTCACAAGTTCCCAAGTTGGGGAACCAGTTGATCCTCCTGACTCAGCCTCCCCAGGGGCACATGCCGCCATGCCTGGCCACCAGAATTGTTTTAACAGCTCCTCATGTGGCCTTCCTGGCTCGGTCTTGCCCCTTGCTTTGGTTAGGGAAATCTTCTGAGACACAAACCCTGTCCTTGCCTTGCTGCCAAGCCAGCAGTGACACTTGAGCGACGTCTGCATCCACCCAAACTCCTCATCCTCCCTTTTGATGCTCCTGGACATGGTGACAGACTCCCCTCCAACTCAAGGACCAAATGAACCCCTCGTCTTTGCCGTTCATCTCAGCCCCGGGCTTTTTGAGTATGAGCCTCAGGATAGATGATGAAAGCCAGGAAGAGGGAGGTTAGGTGCATGGCCTAAAGTCGCACCACTAGGGAGAAGCAGGGTTGGGATTTGTTGGTTCTCTCTGGTTCCAAAGCCTGAGCCCTCAACTGTGCTGGTCTTGAGCCTCCTCCTTCCAGCTGGGTCAGAGTCTTTTTTAGGTGCCTGGCATGTGGTCGATGTTTGCTGAATGAATGAATGAGCAACTATTTTGCATTCCCATTTGATTCTTAAAACCATCATGGAAACTACAACACTTTCTAAACCATTTTTTTTTTTTTTTTTGTCTCTATAATTCAGGTTAGTCTTGAACTCACTATGTAACCCAAGCTGACTTCAAGCTTACCCTCAGCCTCCCGAGTGCTGGGATTATAGGTGTGAGCCACCACGACCAGCTCAAATTCTTTTTCATGTGTAATGTTTGATGAATGCACAAAAATCTGTGATGTGTATCTGGTTTGTGAAGGTTAATTTAGGTATTAGGAAATTTGCAGTGGAGGAATTGAACCCTCACCTGCACATCTCAACTCCGCATGGGCTTTCCAGTCATATCCCACATTCCTCCAGGAGTGAACAAAACCCTGAATTTGATGGTCACTATTCCCTTGCTTTGGAAAAAAAAAAAACTCCCCTCTATGGGGATGGATCCCATGCAACATATTGCTTTGCTTTTGTCTTTCGTGTATGTAGAACAGTACAAGTTTATTCTTTGGTGGGAGCCTCGAGAGCCTCAAGCCTCTGTCTCCAGAATGTGGCACCCTGTGCCTCCATACGTGGCTCACGGTGACTTTCTTAGGCCCCTGTGAGGAAGTAGAGGCCCAGTAAAGAGTGCAGATCCTGGCTGTGTTTCCTAATCTATAACACTAACCCCATCTCGCCCCAGGACTGACATGGGAGGACTCAGCGAGGTCCACTGCATCAGAGAGCCGAGGCCAGTGTCCAGCACTTCTGTGCTGAGCGAACGCCCAGGATGTGCCCAGCACTGTGCCCACCGCGCAGGGCCCTAGGGACACATCGTGAGACAGGCAGGACACCTCCTCCGAGAGCAGGCTGTCCGTCCGGTGAAGGAGACAAACACCAAGCACGTGAGGATGCAAAGGATGTGGCTGTGACAAGGAAGACAAGCACAAAATGTCAGGGCGGCCACCAGTCCTTGACTCACCGAGTGGTCCTGCAGGGTGACATTTGGGCTGAGCAGAGGGGACAGGGCCCAGCAAAAGAAAGCGCTTGCACAAAGGCTGTGCTTGGCTTCCAGAGACTTACAGGAAGCCAAAGTGGGGAGCCCGCAGGATGGGGAGCATTCAGCTCATAGAGAAGTCACCAGCTGGGCTGGACCAGGCAGGGGGTGGTTTGGGGCAGCAGCGTGGCGAGCTGACTTTAACAGATCCCCCTGACTGCCGTGTGGCCACCAACTCTCTATGAATTCACCTAAGTGCTTCTAAGCCACTAGTATTTTTAGCCGGTGCCTCCTCTCTGTGAAATAAAACTTCCCTTTATTGGTCTTAAATTTACTGCTTTTGGGTTTCCAGGGGCCCCCCCTTCTGCCTTGCAGCTGAGAGTGAGTGACCCAAAGGGCGATCGCCCCTCAAGGTCTCCACAGGGAGGTGACAGGAGGGCCTCTTGGGTCACGCTTCACCTGCTCTTGGAGGTTTCCAAGCTTGTGAAATGAGCATCCTGAGAGTGACGACCTTGGCGTGGCTGAGGGAATAAATGAGAGGTAGCTTGGCAGCAGGGGGTCAGGAGCCAGCCAGATGTGGGTGTGGTGTCACACACCTATAATCCAGCCACCGGGCAGGCTGAGGCAGGAGGGTTGCAAATCAGAGGCCAGCCTGAACAACTCAGACCTTGTCTCAAAATAAAAAATAAAAAGGGTTGGGGTGTCGCTCAGCAGTGGGATGCAGCCAGCTCCCATACAGAGAGTGACAGTGGTGGCGGCCACCAGGATAATGACAGTGTTGATGGAGGAGATGCTGATGCTAATGGCATTGCTGGAGATTCTGCTGTGTGACATTGGCTGAGCCACCAAACCAGGTCATGCAGGTCTTTAATAAAACAATGCAATAATGTTGGTTCACCTGATCCCACCAAGGTGGCCCACCCACACTGAGGCTCTAGAATTCTCTCCTTTCCTTTCCACCAGAGTTACACTCTTCCTGCCAGCAACTGATGGAAAGGGTCACGGTATGGAGGAAGTTGGACTGGCATCAGAAGGCCTGAGGTCCAGCTGGTGTCTCTGTGGTAAAGACTGCTCATTGTCGTGCATTTAACTGGTACATCACTGTTTTGTTTTGAAACTGGGTCTCACGGTGTTGCCCAGGCTTGTCTCGAATTCCTAGGCTCAAAAAAATTGTCCTGCCTCAGCCTCCCGAGTAGCTAAGATTGCAGGCACCTGCCACTGCAGTGATAACTGACACTTATTTGAACACACAGATAAAGGTGGCAGAAAGAATGAATGTACAGGAATCACTGCTACAGAGTTACATGGGTGTCCGTGTACCTGCCAGCACGAACCCCTAATGGGGTCCCCCTCAAATTCCAAACCCCTGCACGCCCAGCAGTGCATGGCTCTCTCCTCGGTGCTCAAAGGTTGATTATGCCATGTGGCCCTAGAGACAAGCTAGTCATTGCATCTGGCGGTCAGCGGAAGCCAAGGCCGTCAGAAACCACACGGGAGAGAGCGAGGGGTTCTGGGCTTACCATCACTCATGGTGACCTTGCCGCCCTTTCCCTGGGGAAACAGAAGCCCTGGGCAGGAAGCTTCTCCGGGCTCCCCCTCACCTTGCTACCGGGCTGAGCAGATGCCTGCTGCATGCTCCAGAGACCTTGCCCTCCGTCCACATGGGCACCGTCCCGGGCCTGCTGCCTCCCCCAGGACTCTGTGCAGCAGCTCCTCAAGGCTGTCCTGTGTCACCAGGTGTCTCCATGGCCCATGGGATCGGCGCACAACCTCGCTGTCATTCTCACAATCGTACACACACATTGTCACTTTTTTTTGTACGAGAGATTTGAACTCAGGCCTCCCTCATGCATGCTAAGGCAGGTGCTTTACCAGTGAGCTACATGCCCTTAACATTAAAAATACCAGTGAGGATGTGGGGAACTTCAGTATCACGTATGATCAGTGGCTGTGGGGTTCTGTGTGAGCTTTGTAGATAAAAGGCACATCTTTTGATTCTGTGTCCGCGTGCGTGTGTATGTGTGTGTGTGTGTTGTTAAGAACTTCAGTCAGGGCCACATGCATGCATGCTAACTTATATCCCAGGCTCTCACCCCCACCTTTCTTGGGGGTACTGAAGATTGACCCCAGGCAGCTCTGAGCTGATTACATTTCCTGTCCTTGTTATGTATTTATCTGGAGACAGAGTCTCACTAAGTTGCCAAACCTGAGCTCAAACTTTCTTTTTTTTTTTTTTTTTTTTTGAGCTCAAACTTTCAATCCTCCTCTTGAGTCTCAGTCTCTTGAGCAGCTGGGACAACAGGTGTGTGACCCTGTGCCTGGTTCTTTGGCTCTTGAATCCCCGGCCTCAGAACCCACCCTCAGGATTGTCACTCTGTGTCCCCAGGACACAAGGAGGTGCACTGGGTGTTTTTTTACATAACAGCAAAAAATTGGAAATAATACCAATGTCCAATCACCCAGGGCTGGTTGTAAAAACAAGATAGATCTGTATAATGGGTCCAAGGGGTCATCAGACACCATTTACAGAAACCAGAAAAGATGTTTGTAATATATTACTAAGGGAATTTTTTTTCTTTTTCCTTTTTATTGGTACTGGGGATCGAACCCGCGACTGCCTGCTTGCAAGGCAGGTGCTTATGCCGCTGAGCTAAATCCCCAGCCCACTACGGGAAATTTTTAAAAATCCAGCAGCACTGGGTGTGGTGGTACACATCTGTGATCCTAGCACTCAGGAGGATCATCATGGATTCAAGGCGAGCCTGAACTACATAGCAAGACCTTGTCTTGAAAGAAAGAAAGAAAGAAAGAAAAGAAAAAACAGGTGTTTTCCACAGGTCAGGCCATTAAGGAGATAAGGAACAAGACATCCCAGCCTTTGCTCTCAGGAAGCTATCAAAGGAAGTGGGGAGGCTGATATTCATCAAGCAGCCACTCAAACATATAATTAGAAAGTGTGGTAAGGTTAGGAAGAGGAAGTGCTGAGTGCTGAGTGCTGAGTCTTATCGTGGGGGGAATCTTGATTTAGTGCTGGTAGGAAGGCCAGAGACAGTGCCTCTGAGGTCAGGATCTGACGGAGTTCAGTGAGGGGTGATAGGGTGGGGAAAGAGTTCAGGTGTCAAAATAGCATGTGCAAAGGCCCAGTGGTGAGAAGTGCAGGGTGCTCCACAGCCCAGCATGGCTGGAAGCTGGGTAGCAGAGGGATGGGACACACTGTGTACCTGAGGAAGGGATGGAGCCCACAGGGGCAGGTAGACTATAGATGAGAGCCAGTGCAGGTTGCAGAGGAGGGGCAGTGAGCACAGCTTTGGTGTTGCACTGGCCCTCAGGAGGTGCCAACAGGGCTCTTGAAGAGCAAGCTCAGGACAAGGAAGGCCCGGGGACACTCCATTTGAGAGACCTGGCTCGGCAGGGCCTGGGGCCCGGGAAGTGGTCGCACGCCCCTAGTGGAGAAAGAGGGGAAAGACAGTCTGCCCCCGGGGAGCCCAGCTGCTAGGACCCGCCCCCAAACTCTGGAGGTCAGTGAATGTGTCAGTCATCCCTGCTTGCAAATGTGTCAGTCGTCCTGCTTGCGTCCATCTGTTCTGGATCTGGACCTCAGGGCGGCAGGGTGGAGCACGCTGTGAGGACAGGAGTTGAATCACAGACCGCAGACCAGAGAAGCGAAAAGCCAGAGGAGGGGAGACTGAGGCAGAAGGGGGGACAGTAAGGGGTGAGGCCCAGGCCGCCCACAGTGGCTGGCCGGTGGGATGCGAGGTGTGAGCCATCAAACTCCAGTAACAGGTCAGGGCTGTTTTCATTCACTCATTCACTCAACAAACCTTTCCTAAGCATCTACTATGGGTTAAGTCCTGAAAGAGGGCTGAGAGGATAAAGGAACAGAGGAGGCTGCTGCCCCGGGAGAGGCAAAAGGGGCCTGGAAGAGAAGGGAGGGGAGGATGAGGAGAGTCCTGGATGCGGTGGAGGGCAGAGAGGGCAGGACACAGCCTGGCAGCAGCTCCCGAATGGCAGCTAGACACTTGGCCTGGGATGTGAGTGACAGGCGGAATTTTGAAAGACTGGATTTTGAAAACCAAAGCTTGGCCCACTTTCTGAAAATCATTGAACCGTATGCATAAAATGAGTGGTGAATCTTATGATTTACAAATGATACCTTGTTAATGTGTTTTTGTTTCTGCTTTTGTGGCGCTGGACTTTGAACCCAGGGCCTGCGCACAGAGCTACAGCCCCAGTTCTTTTCTGTCTTTATTTTGAGACGAGGTCTGGCTAAGTCACTAAGTCGTCCAGGTTGGGCTCAAACTCATGACCCTCCTGCCTCAGCCTCCCAGGGTGCTGGGATAACAAATCTGCACCGCTGTGCCCTGCTGCTTGCTAATGCTTTAAAAATACAGCGGTGAGGGGGCCACAAGAGGCCTCGAATTCCCTAGAAGTCATGAGTCAGCCACAAGCCCAGCAGAAGGGACGCCATCCTCATCTTACAGATGGGGAAACTGAGGATCAGAGAGGGCAAGCGGGTTACCCAGTCACAGCGGCCCTCAGGGGTGCAGTCAGGACCCGGCCCAGGTCTGTGTGCCGCGAAGCCCGGACTCCGGAGTAAGGAGTCTCAGGTCCTCCCGGGGCGGACCCAGCCCAGGGACAGGCCGGCGGCGGCCCGGGCCTGCAGCCCTCACTGGCGCATCGCTGGCGCCACCTGCTGGCCGCGGTGTGCTGCTCCATCCTTTCCTCCCCACCGCCCCACCGGTCACAGGCAGGGGCTGTGGGCCCCATGTCCCCCATGGTGGACTCAGACCCCATGGCGTCCACACCCAGAGGACCCCGAGGGCCTGCAGGCCAGACCCCTCCCGGGCAGGCTTACACGGAAATGCAGTGCCTGACCCAGCCTGGGCATCTCTGGGGTGGGGTCTTGACTTCCAGAGGTTACCGGCTCCCAGAGAAAGGGCTGATGATCAGGTGGACCCAGAGCAACAGGCCGATAGGGAGGACATCAGGCCATGGGGGCTGCTGGACCTGTGTGACAGAAGTGACGGAGTGAGGGGGCCTGAGAATGTCATTTGGGGTGTCATCTTTGGGAAAGCCTTGTGGTGCGAGTTGTCTGGCTGTGACTGACAGGTGAGAGGCCTGGAAGGCTTCTTGTCCAGCATCAGAACTCTGAGTCCTCTCCTGGTCATCCCTCCCACTCAGCTTAAACTCACCTCCCCTGGGAAGCCCGCCTGGATTGCTAAATGAGGTCTGAGTTACATGCTACATACTGCCAAGTACTCACCCTATGTGTAAGTGGTTAATTACGTGTATATACTCAGCAAACTCCTGTGTCTGGCCCAGCTGGTGAT